TCTCACTCTGTCACCCAGGCTGGAGTGCAGTGGCACGATCTTGGCTCACTGCAACCTCTGCCTCCCAGGTTCAAGCAATTCTCCTGCCTCAGCCTCCCGAATAGCTGGGATTATAGACGCCTGCCACCACGCCTGACTAATTTTTGTATTTTTAGTAGAGATGGGGTTTCACCATGTTGGCCAGTCTGGTCTTGAACTCCTGACCTCAGGCGATCCACCCACTTCGGCCTGCCAAAGTGCTGGGATTACAGGCGTGAGCCACTGTGTCCAGCCCCACCTTTATTTTAAAGGAAACACTTCAAAAATCAAGATGATTGCAATAATATGAAGAATTAATATTTTTTCCACGTTTACAATGTGTCAATCACTTAGTAAAGATAAGCCTTGCTGGCCAGGCACAATGACTCACACCTGTAATCCCAGCATTTTGGGAAGCCAAGGCAGGCAGATCACTTGAGGCCAGGAGTTCAAGATCAAGACCAGCCTGTCCAACATAGTGAGACTCCATCTCTACTAAAAATACAAAAATTGGCCAGGGTTTGTGAGGTGCACCTATAGTCCCAGTTATTCTGGAAGGTGAGGTGGGAGGATTGCTTAGGATTGCTTGAGCCCAGGAGGTCAAGGCTGCAGTAAGCTATGATTGTACCACTGCACTCCAACCTGGGTGACAAGAGACCCCATTTCAAAAAAAAAAAAAAACAAGAAAACCTGCAAAAGATAAGCTTTGTCTTTCATGGAACATCACTCTGAACCCTCTGGACAACCCTGTGAGGTAGGAACTGTTACTGCCTCCACTTTGCAGACAAGGAAACTGAAGGTTAGCGAGATGAAGCAATTTACCCAAAGTCATGTGGCCAGTGGGTAGCAGAGTCAGAACTGAGCCTCAGGTATGGGACACCAAGGTCTGAGCTCTCAGATTCCAGGGGACATTAAAATCACCAAAGGCAGCTGAGCATGTTGGCTCATGCCTATTATCCCAGCACTTTGGTTTGGAGGCTGAGGTGGGTGGATCACAAGGTCAGGAGTTCGAGATCAGCGTGGCCAACATCGCGAAACCTCGTCTCTACTAAAAGTGAAAAAGTTAGCCAGGTGTGGTGGCAGGCGCCTGTAATCCCAGATACTCAGGAGGCTGAGGCAGGAGAAGTGCTTGAACCTGGGAGGCAGAGGTTGCAGTGAGCTGAGATCACGCCACTGCACTCCAGCCTGGGTGACAGAGCAAAACTCCGTCTTGAAAAAAAAAAAAAAAAATCACCAAAAGCACCTACCAAAGATGCAGATTCCTGGGTCTCACCCCAGAACTACAAAATCAAACTCTCCAAGGGTGGGGCCAAGGCATCTCTGTCTTTTCAGGGTGCTTCCCTGGGACTCAGATGTCCATAAGAGTAAAAGATCCTTTCTCTATGCTACACTGTTTGTATTGCTTCCAGGATTGTATTGCCACTGCTAGGGAACTCTAAATCCCTCATGGTCTTGGTTTGGTTGACACCAAGAAACAGAGAGAAACTTCAAGCCTTAACCTTTTTTTCCTTTTTTATTTGAGACAGGGTCTTGTTCTGTCACCCAGGGTAGAGTGCAATGGCGTAATCACAGCTCACAGCAGCTTGGACCTCCCAGCCTCAAGTGATCCTCCTACCTCAGCTGCCTGAGTAGCTGGGACCACAGGTGTGCGTGCACCACCATGCCTGGCTGCTTTTAACATTTTTTTGTAGGGACAGGGTCTCACTATGTTGCCCAGGCTGTTCTTAAACTCCTGGGCTCAAGCAATCCTCCCGCCTTGGCCTCCTAAAGTGTTGGGATTACAGGCGTGAGCTACCATACCCGGCCTTTAACATATAAATAATTCTGCTTCTTTTCTTTTTTTTTTTTTTATTTTGAGACAGAGTATCGCTCTGTCACCCACGTTGGAGTGCAGTGATGCAATCTCTGCTCTCACTGCAAGCTCCATTTCCCTGGTTCAAGAGATTCTCCTGCCTCAGCCTCCCAAGTAGCTGGGATTACAGGCATGCATCACTACACCCAGCTAATTTTTGTATTTTTAGTAGAGACAGGGTTTTACCGTGTTGGCCAGGCTGGTCTCAAATTCCTGACCTTACTCATTCATTCATTTGCTCATTCATAACCCCTTCTCTGTCACTCACAGGAAAATTGCCGAACCTATCTGAGTCTCAGTTTCTTCATCTATAAAATGGGGATAATCATTTTATCTACCTGATAGCACTGTTGGGAGAATTAAATCAGATAATTCACTTGAAGTGTTGAAAACAATGCAACCTCAGGTGATCTGCCTGCCTTGGACTCCCAAAGTGCTGGGATTTAAATAATTCTGTTTCTTGGAAGGCCTTGAATTTTTAGGAGGTGATCCTGGAAAGGCTATCCAGGCTGAAATGATCAAAGTGAAATCTAATTAGGCCTCTCAAGCACTTTAGGAGGCAGAGGTAGGCAGATCACCTGAGGTCAGGAGTTTGAGACAAGCCTGGCCAACATGGTGAAACCCTATCTCTACTAAAAATACAAAAATTAGCCAGGTTTAGTGGCGGGTGCCTGTAATCCCAGCTACCCAGGCTGAGGCAGGGAAAACTGCTTGAACCCCGGAGGCGGAGGTTGTAGTGAGCCAAGATTGCACCACTGCACTCCAGCCTGGGCAACAGAGCAAGACTCCGTCTCAAAGAAACAAAACAAAACAAAACAAAACAGTTAGGCCTCCCAAAGTTTATGACCTTGTTGTCCCCTCTGCCAGGAAGAACCTGCTGTCTTCTTCTCCTCTGTGCTCCCAGCTCCCACTACACCCCCAGCACTGGCTCTTGCTCTTTCAGGTGCATTGGAAACACTCCAGGATTCTGTTAAAAGGAAGATCTCTGGGCTCCACAAAAGGACTCTGAGGGAGTAGGGTTAAGATGAAGCCTGGGCAGGCTGGGTGCAGTGGCTCACGCCTGTAATCCCAACACTTTGGGAGGCCAAGGCAGGCGAATCACGAGGTCAAGGGATTGAGACTGTCCTGGCCAAAATGGTGAAACCCCATCTCTATTAAAAATATAAAAACTAGCCGGGAATGGTGGTGGGCACCTGTAGTCCCAGCTACTCGGGAGGCTGAGGCAGGAGAATCGCTTGAATCTGGGAGGTGGAGGTTGCAGTGAGCCGAGATCATGCCATTGCACTCCAGCCTGGGCGACAGAGCAAGATGCCGTCTCAAAAAAGAAAAAAAAAAAAAAGATGAAGCCTGGGAATCTGCATTTTAACTAGTAGGGCAGATGGTCCATGAACCACATTTTGAATAACACTGATGTTTGCTGATGTTTGTCTCAAGTTGTGTCTCTCTCTGACAGGCTGTGAGCAGCTTGAGGGCAGGGTATGTACTACACTCTCACACCTAATAATACACTGAATGAATGGGTGATGGCTGGCATTTTTTATTAAATGCTTCTTATGGGCGTAGCACTGTTTTATTTTTTATATTTTGTTATTTTATTTTGAGACAGAATCTTGCTCTGTCACCAGAGCAAGTGGTGCAGTGGCACCACCACCGTTCAATGCAGCCCTGACTTTCTGGGTTCAAGCAATCCTCCCACCTCAGCCTCCTGAGCAGCTGGGACCACAGGCATGTGGCACCACACCCAGCTAACTTAATTTTGGAGAGTCAGGGTCTCACTGTGTTGGCCAGGCTGGTCTCAAACTTGGGGGGTCAAGGGATGCTCCCACCTTGGCCTCCCTCCCAAAGGGCTGGGATTTTAGGCATGAGACACAGCACCCGGTGGCACTGTTTTCAACACTTCAGGTGAATTATTTCATTCTCCCAACAATGCCATAAGGTAGAGAGAATGATTATCCCCATTTTATAGATGAAGAAACTGAAACTAAGGCTCAAAGAAGTTAGGCAATTTTCCTGTGAGTGGCAGAGGAGGAATTATGAATGAGCAAATGAATGAATAAGAGAAGAGAAAATAGCTAGGCATGGTGGCTCACTCCTGTAATCCCAGCATTTTGGGAGGCCGAGACGGGTGGATCACCTGAGGTCAGGAGTTTGAGACCAGCCTGGCTAACACTGTTGGTGAAACCCCGTCTCTACTAAAAATACAAAAAAATTAGCTGGGTGTGGTGGTACATGCCTGTAATCCCAGCTGCTCGGGAGGCCAAGGTAGGGGAATCGCTTGAACCCAAAGGTGGAGATTGCAGTGAGCCGAGATCGCGCCACTGCACTCCAGCCTGGGCAACGAGAATGAGACTCCGTCTCAGAAAAAAAAAAAAAACAAAAAACTGATGACCTAACAGGGGGGCTTTAGGTGACACAGGGAGTAAGACGGGGGCTCAGGTGGCAGGGGAGGGGCAGGAGGTAGCTTCCATACCTTGCAGCCCTCACAAGTGATACAGCGGTAGTGATAACCAGTTGCTTTGTCCCCACACACGACACACTGCTCGTCTTTGTCCAGGTAACTAGGGATATACCCTGGGAGGAAGGAAAGGATGGAGGAAGGCAGGCATGGCTTGAAGTCCCAGCAGAGGGGCTCTCACACTTTTCCCCATCCCTCAACTTTTTGTTTCTGGCCCCTCTCCTAGCCCAGCCTCCCTGGTAGAATCCTAGAGAGATGGGAGGTGAACCTGTCCATCCTCTGCCCTAAGAGTATGAAGAATCTCAGTTCTTCTGACTACCCACTCAGGGCTTTCTTCTTGCTCTATCTACAAGGCAGAGGATGGTGGAGAGGGAAAAATAAATCTCAGCAGCTCACTGGGGATAACACAGCCCCTCAGTCCTTCAGCTCAGGCCCTGATTCTGGTGGGGCCTCAGATGAGAGTACTAAGGGGAGGGAAGAGGCCTTCCTGACCTAATCCACCCTCAAAAGCTGGGCACATCCATCATCACCTTTCTCAGCCCCAGACAAGTCCATCCCAAGCCCTCTAGGAAGCTCCCCCCAGGGAACACAGGAACTACTATTCCATGTCCAGGTCCGGAGGGAGCCCTGGCTGGGTTTGGTGGGGTCGGGGACGTGGAGAAGGGGCACGCACAGCCAGCCTCACCTGACATGCTGGTTTTCAGGGAACATTGGCCGTTCTTTCTTTTTCGCTTTCCATCTGGTGACCTGGCACTGGATGGGGGCAAAGTGGGCAGAATCACAGAGCAGTCTTCGGGTGGCCCCTTTCTCATCCGAGAGGCTTATACAATCCCCCCCAGGCCTGATTCTTTCCATTTTGTGTCCTCATTCTACCTCCCACCCCCAGGGTCAGCTGACAATGCCTAAAAGGGTCCAGCTATCTGGAATTTGCAGGGGAGAGAGATAAGGGGCTTGGCTGTGGCACGAGCATGTTCTAGAGCCCCAACACATACACATTCACCCACCAGAAGACCTGAAGCACCCACAATCCGCAGGACATCCTCATCTTTCAGTACACGACAAATACGCTGGAAGAATTCTCAGGATATGCTTAAAGCTATGTAACCTTTAGAACACACACATACATATGCAACATAACACCGGCGCAGATGAATAACCATGCAGCTTTCACTATAAACCCACGGATGGTGAGTATGCACCAGGGCTGACATATCTGTGAAATTTTCAGGGCATTCTTAAATGTGCTATACAACCTTTAGGATATGGCCCGGTGTTACACAACACTCTGCACAAGCACCTCATACAACCACCCTCATCCCGCCAGTGTGCACGTGTTGCTTGAGCTCCAGGTCATACATACATGCTAAATAACCCACAGCAATGGAAAACACTAGAGTCACCCCCTGCACAGCCTCCATTTAACAGAGCAGCAAACTGAGACCCTACTTGTGCCTGGTGACACCATGAGCTGGAGTCAGAGCCAGGACTGAGCCCCTCTGTGCAAGGTATTATTAGCAACCCTCAGCCACTGCACATATATGTTGCCAGGCTCTCCACATACATGTTACATAACCTCAGTGCACACAGGTTACATAAACCCTCTACATGCATGCAAGGATTGTATAAGCTTCCGCACCCACCCTGTGTGTGGCATGTTGCAGGCCCCTTCCTCCTGGAGCCGGATGCAGCTCCCAACACACTGACACAGTGACCTTGGCCAGGGTCACAGTTACAGACAGTTCTGTGCTCCACGCCCCCTGGGGATTACTCCCGTCTACTTCCTACGAGGCTGAAAGGTCAGGTCTCCCTCACGCCTTCCAGAAGGTTGGGTGCAGGGGAACTCAGGCCACCTAGGTCCCAGTTGAGCTGGCAGCTTCAGGAGTTACCACCAGACTCACAGCCTCTGAGTGCAGTCCTAGAGATAGCCACAAGGTGGCGCATAGACATGGGGGAGGGGAAGGCAATGGGGGAGGGGCTGCAGTCTTAGGGGACTAGGAACTGGCATTCCTGCCTTTCTCCAAGCCTTAGGAGCAGACTCTTGCAGACCCACAGAAGCCTAAGCTGGGAGACACAGGGGCTGCCAGTGACAGCCACACAGCTACAGGCCAGATCATCCTCAGAGTCCTTCCTGGGGTGAGGCTTTGGGGAAGGGGGGCTATCCCATGCCCTGCCGAGCTGTGAGTTCCATCTACTTCCTCTACCCTTCAGGGACCCAGTTGTGGGCCTTAGGGCTTTGCCTGGCCAGGCCTCTGGCTTCCTGGCTCGGGATCTGATCTCCTAGGAAACAGTCAGCCACACTGCTCCCCGGAGCACCCCTACCCCCACCCTCTCCTTGGCCATAGGCACAGGCTGTACCCAGCTCCCAGGGCACCGTGCCAACTGGGACAAAGCTCTGTGCCACTTGGAGCTGATGGAAAAGGCAGAGACCCTCTGGGCTCCCCCAGGGCAATGCAGATCATAGGTAACCATCCCTTGGTGTATGTGCAAGGCTGACACCTCACCCACGTGGAAGCAAAACCGTCATGGTTTTGCACTTTCTGGGAGGAGCCCCATCGCAGTGCCCGCCCTTGACCATGAACAAGGAAGAGCTTGTGGGGCTCCCAATAGATTCCAAATATAAGCGTGGGCTGTGACCAATAGTTACTGGTGCATGTGCCCTGAAATGTCATACTACGTGAACCACAGCCTGTGGAAAACGCACTTGTGGTCAGATAGTAAATGGGCTGGCAGGGAGAGGAGGAAAATGGCAAGGCTGTTTGGGTCCCACATGCTCAAGGTGAGGGCAGCAATGGTGGAGGGGACGTTGGGGGCATCTGAGACTGCCCAGCACTGTCTAGGGAAGGGCCCCTTATGTGCTCCCTGTAATTTGCTCTGTATCACTCCGACTTCAAAATGAGCATCTCTCAATCCAAGTGCCTGTCACATCTGAACTTGAACTCATCTGCCAGAGAGAGGTAGGCAGAAGGTTTGCTGGCCTCATGTCCATCCCACAGAGGTGCTTAACGGCGGTGCCTAAAGGACAGCTCAGCCAGGTGCCCATGCCTGCTGCTTAGGAGCTGGCATGACCTAGTTGCTGAACCCATTACCTGTTCTCCTCTGGGTCCGACCCACACTCCACCTTGCTTGGCTTCTGTTCCATTCACTTCAATTCCATCCAGGATGCCCTCCAGCACGCCAAGAGACTGGGGTGGGCACACTGGCCCCCCCGGCACGCCCACAGGCCACCCACCCCCTGCCACCCAGGCCCTAGGGCACAGCACCCATGATACCCGCCTCAGCACTTGGCCTTTCACACCATGCCCTGCGCCCCCAGGGGGGCGGGCGGTGGGAGGGGCCAGGGAGTGGCAGGTGGGAGGGCTGGGGCAAGCTGGGTCTGTGGGTCCCGGGCTGTGGGCTGAGTGAGTAGCTTCGGAGTCTTGTCCTGTCCAGAGATCCCTGTGGGCAGAAGAGAGAGGCAGGGGTAAGAAGGTGTCATGGTGGGAAGGTGGGTAGGATCCCTCTGGTGGTAACATTTGGGGCTTTGAGGACCCATAACAAGATAGCAGGGGGCAGGAAGGGCAGGCGTAGAGAGGGGACCAGGATAATCCCTTAGATCACAGGTACAGCAGGCGAGATCGGAGATCCTCCTCCTAAGCCCCAGACATAGGAAGGAATGGAGGGAGAGAATGAGATCACTCACGTACTAGGTAATATGTCTCAGTCTTCATATTCAGACAAATGCCTGGCCCTTAATGAGCATCTATTAAACACTAGCTATTGTTACCACCCCTCTAGACAAGTTTTCCTGAAATTCCTCTGTATTATAGGGGTAAGAGGGGACCAGAGGCAAGCAGTTTTCAGCACAGGCGGGGTGGGACATAGAGCGGCACGCAGTGAGCGTGAATGCCCATCTTTGTGCCTTAATAGAGAGAAATGTTGAAAACTCTGGAGAACTGACCTCCCATGCTGCCGGCCAAGTTCTGATCCCCAGCTCTGGCCCCTCAGGGACTCCAGAGCTTCCCACACAAGCTCTTGAATCCCACTTCCCAGGCCAAGGACCAGACTTAGTTGGTTTAGCTGAGCTGCTATCAACCAGGATGGCAAGGGAGAAAGGAAAGGAAACTAACACATGTTAACTGCAGAGATAATCTGTGCCCTCCAGAGTGGGCAGGAGAACTTCACAGATGAGGAAACTGAGTCTCAGAAAGTTTGATCATTCACTCAAGTTCACACAGCTAGTAAGCAGGTGGCTGTCGGATAAGCCTCATGGCCTGGCCCTAATGCTAGTCTTGTTCTGTTACCTGGAGTCCAGGGCAGTGCCAAGCTGGGCCCACCATTCCCACGTCCCACGGCATTGCACCTCTGACCCTGGGCTGCAGACCTGTGGCTTACTGTCTGTGTGCACACAGGCAGGTGTGGCAGGTAGGAGGGGGACAAAGGGTACAGCTCCCCGACATATGACCTCAACCTCTGTCACGTGGCTGCTGCATATGAGACCTCACCCCTAGGCCCCTGGCCCCAACCCCAGGAGCTGATAAGGAGCCAGGGTGGGAAGAGAGGCGGGGAGATAAGTCAGCAGATTGGGCAGGGCCAGCAGCATGATGGGGCCTCTGCACCCAGGCAAGCCGGTGGTGTGGACAGCATGGGCATTGCACAGAAAAGTGGTCCATTCTGCCTCTGATGCCCACCCCAGACCAGGACTGGGCACTGGGGGCTGGACAGGAGACTGGGGTGGGGGGGCGTGAGCAGGGAGCCTTAGCCCAGGGAGCCATCAAGAAAGTAGGTCAAGTTTTTCTTGGCTTGTGGAGAAATTCCTGTTATAAATTTATAATGGCGTAGCCAGCCCTAAGGGGTGGAGGTTGGGGAGGAGAAGGAGTGGGTGGGGAAGCCCAGGGGCTGGGCACTGGAGCCTAATGCTCTCAGCCAGACAGTGAGGGGCAGGGGGCGAGGGCCGCTGCAGGGGTTGGGCTGGACAATAGAGGACGATCTTCTGACTCCACATCCAGCGAGGCTGCCTGCATATGTCTGTCTGTCTGTCTGTCTGTGTCTGAATGTCTCTCTCTCTCTGGGTCTGGGTGTCTCTGTCTCCCCCCCAGGCTGTGCCTCGGTGCTTGGCACACCCTGGCTGTGGTGCTGCCCCCGCCTGTCTCCTGCCCGCCTGGCACACTGCCACCACTTGTTTACAGAAGCTGGAAAAATCCACTCGCCAGCCGGAGGCCCAAGCGCCCCCGGGGAGGGGAGGAGGCAGGCACAGGAGTGGGCATGCTGAGAGAGGGGCAGCCCTGGGTAGCAGGCCCTGGGGGTAGCCGAGGAGGACCAGTGTGTGCAGGAATGAGCATTGGCTGCTGTGGGCTGGGCTGGGCAGGGAACACCAGCAGCAACCACATGGCATGGGCAGCTCCTGCTCCAGGCCAGGGCTCCTCAGGGCCCCCTCCCCCAGGCCCCTGCCACTTACCAGTTGCTACATTGCAGAACTGGGGCAGTGCCAACCTAAGCCACCATGTTTATTTCCCCTTCCCTCTCTCCTGCCCAGCCTTAACTCCAAATGTGTCTGCGTACTGCCAAGGGCCTGCACGTGCCCGCTGGGGGGAGGGGCGGGCTTGCTCTCTGCCCCATCCCTCTGTGGAACTGAATGGTGCCCTGGTGCTGGTCAGTGCAGCCCAGGCTACAGTCAGCCCCTGGTAGTGGGCAGAGGAGCAAGGTGCTGTCCTTGCTGCCTCGGGCACCCTCACTGGGTACCCAGCAAGAGGCTGGAACGCCTGGGGACTCCTTGGCATCTCTCCAGGGACACACTTGGGCCTTTGGGGTGATACAGAGGCGAGGCAGAGGGCCCAGCACGCGGGAAGACACACATCGGGGAGACACACACCACGTGAGCCTGTGTTAGCAGTGGGCAGAAAAAGGTCAGCGGGTAAGGGGCATGGGGCAGGGGTACCCACAATGAAGGGCAGCCTCTCTCCCCTCCTCCAGAGTCCAGCTTAACTCCTCAAACTCCTTCCCGGCACCTCCTCTGCAGAGGTGAGGGAGGCCCCACCCCAAGGAGGCTGAGGGGGCGGAGCTATGGGGTTCTGTGCCCAGGCTGGACAGCAGGACAGCAAGACCCACCTGTCGGCTGGCCTGGCCACCCACTCCCTCCTTGTGAGATGAGAGCTGCTGGGTGGCAGTGTAGGCAAAGTGCCCGCGGAGGGGGAAGCATTTCATTAAGCTTAAGTGCTTCTGCCATGGGGGGACAGGGACACAGGGCCAATGCGGCATCCACAGGCGCCCCGCCAGGTTCCCACTGCCGGGCCGTCCCACTCTGCAGTCCTGTGGATCTGAGGACACCCCCAAAGGACTCCTGGAGCTGCCAGAGGGGAGTTTCTGTCCCCAGGATCTAACCCCAACACTATTCGCATTAACCCTCCTGCGTATCTGCTCTGGGCTTTGGCCCCACCTTTCTGGGGCCCCTGAACTTTGTCCTTAGTGCTCTGAAGAAAGCCCAGCCCTCCTTGCCAGCTACAGGGACAGTACATGCAGGGTGGCTGAGAAAAGGGTAGAAAGACGAGAGGAGGGGTAAAAAGGCTGATGGGGGAAAGAGGGAAGAAGGGAGGAGGGGGAAGAACAAAGAAATGGGACAGGGCTGGGGTAGAGCTAGGGGTGACAAGGCAATAGAGGGAGAGGAAGAAAGGGGAGCCAGAGATGGGGGATGGGGAGAAGGGATGAGGTAGAAAGGAGGACAGATAAAGGGAGGAGAGACACATGAAGGAGGGGAGACAAAGAGAGAAAGGTAACAAAGAAAGATGGGTGGGGGGGCTTCATACCCTAAGTCCCACCCCATGCAGGCTAGGGGGAGGGGGGCGTAGGAATGGTTTCCACGGTGACAGCTGGTTGTTGGTGGCCTGGCATGTGGGCTATTAATAGTGCTGTGGGTAGGTTCACACCTCCCTCTCCCCTTCCCCTCTGCCTGCTGCTAGGGTGGGGGGAGATCCCTCCCCCACCACCCACTCCTGATCACCCAGCCTCCCACCATGGGAGCCAGGAACGGCGATGCTGAGGGGCCAGGGTGGCCGCTGTGGCCCAGACACATAAATGGGCATGCATGGGCACAGGCATCTGTGGGTAGCACTGCCCCCCATGCCAACATGGGCACCACGGGCAGCCACCCACACCAAGGGCCCCTGGGAGTCTGTGGTGGTGGCAGTGCTGCAGCAGCGACACGTGCCCCCACGATGAGGGGCAGAGGCCTCTCTAGGACTGAGACTCCCTCTCCTTTCCCATACCCCCTGTTCTATTCTCAGGTATGGATTGAGCAGGGCTGCCCCACCCAACTCTCTGTTATCCTAGTGCCAGGAAGGAGAGGAGGAGTGAAGGCGGGAAGGAAGGTACTATTTGGCAGGTGTGATGTGGCAGAGGAGTACACACAGACTCAGGGCCCCAGCCTGGCAGGCATGGGGGAGACGGGAGGAGGGGAGGCAGCACCCCTTAGTGAGCTCTCACTGGGCCCTCAGGAGACAGGTCTGGAGCTGGGGGGCAGTGACTCATCACCTAGCCACTGTGGGACCTTACAGGCTAGAGAATGGGAGATGGGGTGGGGATCCTCATAAGGGGAGATTGGTTACTTAAACAAAGGATCCTCTCCACCCCACCCCAAAAGAATATAACAGGAAACCCCCCCTGCAGGTCAGAGACAGAAAGACATAAACAGCAGCCTTGACTTGGGCCAGATGCCCAGTATTAACATCAAAGACTGTGCTTCCCACCCGGCTCCCCCACAGCCTCACCCACCTGCTGCTCTCCTCTCCCTCCTCCTGCCTGGACCAGCTCCAGCCAGGCATCAAGGTGGGTGCCCAGGTCTGGAGGTCTCCTCCCAGGTCACATCCATCCCCCATGACCACTGGTGGGTGGTCATGCGCACACCCATACTGGAGAACTCAGCCCCTCCTTATCAGCCCACAGAACTTCACGCCCCCCAGCCCAATTCCCCTCAGGAGCGGAGGCAGGAGATCCAAGTAGCCAAGAAAGCAGAAGCAGGAGCACCCCCAAGCTGGGCAAGGCACATTCTCCCCACCCTCCCCCAGCAGCCAGTGGGTAATTGGAGCTGGGAGCTGGGGCAGCTGAATGCTGGAGGCATGAATGTCACGGGGCCAAGGCACTTGCTGCAGATGGCACCATGGGCACAAGGCTTGGGGTCCTCCCTCCTCGTCTAAGGCAGTAGAGGAAGTTGCCTGCAAGCCTTGAGGAGCATGGCCCAGGAGGGTAGGGAATGGTGGAGAGGGAAAGAAAGGCAGGGATGTTCTCCCAGGCACCCCAGAGGCAGGAGCTAGCCCCTACCCAAGCAGAACTGGCAGAGGCAGAGAGAGAGAGACAGAGACAGAGATAGAGAGACAGGGAGAGAAAGCGAGGAGGAAGGGAATAGGAAGGAGGGAGGAAGGGGGAGGGAAGAGAGAAAGATTGAGTGTGTGTGTGAGAGAGACAGA